CAAATATCATGATAGGCAAATCTGAGCATGTGTATGTAAGAGACATAATCCGTAACTGGAATTGTGATCAACCTCAAGGGTCCTCATCGAATGTTTCATGGCTTAGTCATTTATATATATATATATATATATAATCCCTATAATTGCCTAAGTGATATCTTTACTTCATTATATCGTTTCTTTTCTCTTTGTAAAGCTAACTTTCAGGGAATCACATAATGGCCTACTGACGGCGATTAGTGAACCCTGTATGGCATCTATAGCCCACTATCACGACCACGTGTGAAATCTCATTGTCTGGTAACGAGGTCTATCAAGGTACGCCCCCCAAGGCTCCTGTATGGTCTGCCCGCAGGCCTGTATTAGTCAGATGAATCCACGACAAGAAATTCCAGCTGACTATATCTGAATTCTGTGCACAGAGTAGCGTCGAATGTAGTAGCCCTAAATTATACTTCAAGCATCCTTGGAATATTATTTATGAAGATAGAAGAGGATTCATACCTATATATCAAATAAAAGCAGTCCCTGCCCTTCTTTATTCTCCTAGAACAATACTTTTTCCTTCAAGAAAACATTTAGCTAAGTATATCTATAGGTCTATGGAGAGGAAGACAATTGATTCTTGAAGAAACCAACTTACCTTTAGCTTTGGTGGATCGAAGATGAGAAAACTTGAAGAAATTGCTTGAAACCAGTCCTTACACGTTCTTGAGTATATGAGAAAGTATATCCCAAACTTCTAATATAAAAACAACAAGTTTGGCCGACTTCTCTAAAGTGCCACATGTCCTGCAGTGATTGGGCAGTGCGCGCGTCTGTCGTAGAATGAACATAACTTCTTACTCCCGATATCGTTTTAACGAGAGGTTTATTTTACTGGAAGCTAGACTCAAATACCTTCAATTGGATAGGTGTAGGCCCTCTAACTCATTTTATATTAGGAGATATGCTCGTTTAAAGTCATATGAGAAATGAGATCATTTGTAGTATTCCTCCACAATGAGCCGTTAAACTTTAATCTTTTCTTTTATGATCTCTTTCACCTAAAATTTTTGTTAACTCTTCAAATGACTAAATATAAGGGTTACATAGTATGCTTAACCATTTTCAATGATATACCTCCCTGATATCATATCTATGCATTGGTGTTTACGAGTCGCAAATGTATTTTAAGTTACGGATATTACATTATCCCCCCCTTTGGATCATTTGTCCTCAAATTAATTTAAAAAAATTTAGACGAGTTTCCTTTGTAAACATGCCTATCCAAAACCTGTCATCCAATAAAAATACACATAAAATGCTTCACAGAGCATCACCACGTAATAATATGCAGCGGATATTCACTAGGCTCTACTTAGCCTTATACGAATTAAAACTACACTAACCAATATAAATACCTTATACTGTGGATGTTTCAACTCTGAGGAACATGTGATGTTTGTATCAAGTACCTGAGCATATAACATATAATAAAACAGTACTACAAAGTACAGGCAAAACATAACTCAAATGAGAGGAGTTATGACTTTAAGAACCTTTGTGTGGCTATTGAAATAAGTGGGGATACTTTGCCCTCATGTCAGCCTCTGCTTCCCATTTGGCTTCTTCTATATTCTGACTTTTTCAAAGTACCTTGACTGATGCTACGCCTTTTGTCCTCAACTTCCTGACCTGTCGGTCCAATATTGCCACTGGGACTTCTCATAAGATAAGTTTTCTGAGAATTCCATACCTTCCATGGGAATAACCTATGTAGGATCTCCCAAGCATTTGCGTAACATCGACACATGGAAGACCGGGTGTACTACAGCTAACTCTCGAGGCAAATCCACCTCATAGGCTACCTGGCCAACTCTACGTATAACTTTATATGGCCTAATATACCTGGGGCTCAACTTACCTTTCCTCCCAAATCTCAAAATGCCCTTCATAGGGGATACCTTCAAGAATACCCAGTCATCAACCTGGAACTCTATGTCTCTACGGCATACGTTTGCATATGATTTTTGTTGGCTTTGATCCATTTTCAGTCGCTCTTTTATCAACTTTACTTTTTCAATGGCTTGGTGAACAAGGTCTGGTCCTAATATTTGAGTTTCACCTACTTCAAACCAACCAATAGGCGATCTGCACTGACGCCCATAAAAGGGCTTCAAATGGAGCCATGCCAATACTAGAATGATAACTTTTATTGTAGGCACATTCTATCATGGGCATATGATCATCCCAATTACCTTTAAATTCTAAAACATATGCTCTCAACATATATTTGAGTGTTTGAATAGTGCGTTCAGCTTGGCCGTTTGTTTGCGGGTGAAATGTAGTGCTAAGGTTCACATGTGTGCCCAAACTCTTCAGGAATGATCTCCAGAAAAGTGCCGTAAATTGGGCACCCCTATCTGAAATAATAAATAGTGGAGTCCCATGCAAGCGAAAAACTTCCCTTACATATATCTTGGCATATTCTTCGGCTGTGCTGCTGGATTTAACTGGCAAGAAGTGGGCTGATTTCGTCAACCGATCAATGATCACCCAAATGGAATCATGTCTCTTAAAAGAGAAAGGCAAACCTGTAATGAAATCCATATTAATAGCCTCCCATTTCCATATTGGAATGTCCATAGTCTGAGCTAGGCCACCGGGCCTCTAATGTTCTGCTCTAACTTGTTGGCAATTGGAGCATTGTGCCACGTATTCCGCAATATTCCTTTTCATGTCATTCCACCAGTATACCTCCTTAAGGTCATGACACATATTTTTGGAGCCTGGATAAATTGAGTATTGGGAACAATGTGCTTCACCTATGATTTTCTGCCTTAACCCATCTATATGTGGAACATATAGGCTGCCTTGACATCTCAAGGTGCCATCTTCTGCTAAATTGAATGCAGTAATTCGGTGCTCACGAATCCCTTCTCGATATTGTAGAAATATTGGATTGTCATACTGTTTCTCTTTCACCATGCCACTAATGATGATTCGGCAGTATTCTGCACGACTACGCCTCCATCTTCGGCTTTAAGAAGTCGGACTCCCAAACTGGCTAATTTGTGAACATCTCGTACTACTTCTTGTTGTACACATGGTAAATGTACTAGACTTCCCATAGATAGTCAACTAAGAGCATCTGCTACCACGTTAGCTTTACCTGGGTGGTAGAGGATGTTCACATCATAGTCCTTCAATAACTCTGGCCACCTTCTCTGCCTGATATTCAGATCTTTTTGCTTGAAAGGATATTGGAGACTCTTATGATCTATAAAAATATCAACATGTATCCCATACAAATAGTGTCGCCAAATCTTAAGTGCAAATACCAGTGCAGCAAGCTCCAAATCATGAGTGGGGTAGTTTTGTTCGTGTTTCTTCAATTGTCGATAAGCATATGCTATCACCTTCTCTTGCTGCATTAATACGCACCCTAGGCCAATGATTGAAGAATCACAATAAACTACATACCCTTCTGTACCCTCTGGTAAGGCCAATATTGGTGCCTTAGTCAATCTATCTTTCAACTCTTGGAAGCTTTTCTCACACGCATCGGACCACTGGAACTTCACTGCCTTTTGCGTCAACTTGGTGAATGGTGCAGAAATAGAGGAGAATCCCTCTACAAACCTGCGGTAATATCCAACAAGTCCCAAGAAACTACACACCTCCGTCTTAGTAGTAGGTTGAGACCAACTCTTTACAACCTCAATCTTTTGGGAGTCTACTCTAATGCCTTCACTAGAGACCACATGGCCAAGAAAAGCCACAGAGTTCATCCAAAATTCACATTTCGAGAACTTGGCATATAGTTGGTGCTCTTTGAGTGTTTGTAGGACAACTCTCAAGTGATTTGCATGTTCTCTGGCATCACGTGAATATATTAAGATGTCATTTATAAATACAATCACATACATATCAAGAAAGGGTTTGAAAACCCTATTCATCATATCCATAAAGGCTGCTAGAGCATTTGTTAGTCCAAATGACATGAAAAGGAACTGAAAGTGTCCATATCTCATTCGGAAGGCTGTTTTGGGAATATCTACTTCTCGAATCTTTAGCTGATGATATCCGGATCTAAGTCAATCTTTGAAAAACACTTAGCTCCTTGCAATTGATCAAATAGATCATCTATCCTTGGAAGGGGATAATTGTTCTTTATCGTCACCTTGTTAAGCTGTCTGTAATCTATACACATCCACATCGTTCCATCCTTTTTGCGTACAAATAGTACTGGAGCACCTCAAGGCGATATGCCTAGGGCGAATGAAACCTTTGTCAAGCAAATCTTTCAGCTGCTCCTTTAGCTCTTTCAATTCTGCTGACGCTATTCTATAAGGCGGAATGGATATAGGATGGGTATTGGGATCTACGTCAATACCAAAATCAATCTCTTTAATTGGAGGTAGTCTAGGAAGTTTGTCAGGAAACACATCTAGATATTCATTCACAATAGGCATAGAGTAAAGAGTCGCTATCTGTTTCTCAGCTTGAAGGTCTCTTACATGGACAAAGTGATATAAACACCCTTTTTCTATAAACTTTTGTGCCTTAAGATAGGAAATAAACCTTCCTCTAGGCATCATAACATTACCCTTCCACTCTAGGACTGGCTCACCCAGGAAATGGAATCGAGCAACTTTGGCTCGGCAATGAACTGTTGCATAACAAGATGACAACCAATCCATGCCCATAATGACATCAAAATCAACCATTTCTAGCTCTATCAAATTTGCCAATGTGCCATGGCCACATATTGTTACTAGGCACCCGTAATAGATCCTTCTAGCTATAACAGAGTCTCCTACCAGAGTCGATATTGCAAATGGCTCATGTAATAACTCTGGCTCTACTCCTAATTTCTTAGCAACAAATGGAGTAACATATCATAGGGTAGCCCCTGGGTTTATCAATACATATACATCATAAGAGAAAATAGATAAGGTACCTGTAACCACATTTGGGGACGCCTTTGAATCCTGACGACCTGCTAGTGCATACATTCAATTTGGGCAAGCTCCAGAACTAGATCCTCTACCTCTGCCTGTACCTCGCCCTACTGGTGGTTGAGTGCCACGTGATGAAGAAGGCATTAATGCTGAGGATGATCCTGCAGTGCTAGTATATTGTGGCCTATCACCTCTACCCTCCACTCGAAGCTTCGGACAATCACGTATCTTATGACCCTCAACTCTAAACCCATAGCAAGCGGTAGATCCATATCGACACTCTCCCAAATGAGATCGGCCACATTGCCTGCAAGTAGGTCGAAGCGGTAGTCCTCGACTAGAACCTCTCTAATAGTGGGGATTAGGTGCCCTTGAGGTCTGGGTTTGCTCTTGCCTGGGTCTCGATAACTGAGCTGGGGCACTAGCAGTTGAGCGGTCTAGTGATTGAGCCTGTCTGGGAGGACCTCTACTGGAGTAGGCTCTAGCATCTCCCTAAAATATTCCAGCACTCCTAGCCCTCTTAATTTGTTCCCTATCTCTCTCAGCCCTAGGATTTTGTATGTGATCTTCTATTTGCTGAGCATGTGCCATAAGTCTTGCAATATCCATATCCCGATTTAATGCAGCAATGGTGCAAGAGCCAATCAAATGATCCCCAAGTCCACCAATGAAACGATGCATCCTTGCATTTTGGGTGCTAACCATCTCAGGAGAAAATCTAGCCAACTGAGTGAATCACATGCGATACTCCCTGACGCTAAGGTTATTATGTCGAAAGTTTAAAAATTCATCAACCCTCGCTTCCCTAAGCTCTAGTGGAAGAAAGTGCTCCATAAAGGCCTTTGAGAACTCCTTCCAAACTACTGGAGAAACATTTTGTCCCCTAGAGTCCACACATATCTCGTACCAAGCAATGGCGACATCTTTTAGCTTATAGGAGGCTAATTCAACTGCCTCAGTTTTAGAGAAATGCATGACCCTAAGAATTCTATTGATCTCATTTATAAACCGTTTTGGGTCCTTTGTCACCCTAGATCTTGTGAATACTGGGGGATTCATAAAGAGGAAATCACGAACTCTAGATCCACCTGCCTCTTCCAGAACCGTACTAGGTGTTGCTGCATTTTGTCTTTGGACCTGAGCAGCTACCAATTGAGTGAGCAACTGTATTGCCCTACTAAGATCTTGCTCTGAGGCACTTGATGGCGGTACAAGCGGTAAATGAACTACTATTGGTACTATTGGAGGTGTAGGAACTCCTGTAGCTCCTTCTGTCATGGGAATCTGAGGACCTAGAAGCATAGGACTTGGCAGGCTCTGTTGACCACTGGTCTGATCACCTACTAGTTGGGACTGCAATAAAATGGATGCCTCCTCAGTAGTACTAGCAATAGACATCGAGCCTTCTTTATCCTTGTCCGTACTAGACATGATTTGACTCACAAATGACAAAAGACTTTGAGTCAGAATTAACTTTCTATGACATAGCTGTATCACACGATCTAATTATGAAAGAAGGCCAAATTCCTAAATGCCCATGTAGTCCCTAAAATATAAATATGGCATGCAACACATTTATAAGAAAGGTCCTACTAGACACGGCTTCATAGACTCCCCAGGACACTTGAACCTTGGGCTTTGATACCAAGTTTGTCACCCTCCTAACTAGAAAGGGGCAGACATCAAGTATATACATAAGCACCTGTTAAATATCTTACTAATCTTACGCCAAAGCTGTAGATTCATAAGCAGCGGAACATATATGAAGACACATACTAAAACATAGATAACAAAAGGGCCCGTTGGGCTACTTTACAACGGAAACAAGACTAAGTCTACGAAGCCTCTAAAGAGTATGCCTCTGAGAATCTGATAACTATTTGGGACAAGGCCCCGACATACCCATTCTGATATATGTACATACGTAGCAAAATATAGGCTCTAAATATCTGATAGCTACAGGTAGAGGTGGAGCTTACCAACTGCTAAACTGGAAGTCTCTAGTCTACTGAAAATGCTTGCTGTCTTGAGTACCTGAGCCTGTATTGATACAAATGAAACGCCAAAATAATAGGGACGTCAGTACATACAAAACATGTACTGGTATGTAAAGAAAACTGAATAACACGTAGACTTCAAATATCATGATAGGAAAATCTGAGCATATGTATGCAGGAGACATAATCCGTAACTGGAATTGTGACCAACCTCAACAGTCCTCATCAAACGTTTCATGGCTTAGTCATTTATATATATATAATCCCTGTAATTTGCCTAAGTGTATATCACTTCTTTTCTCTTTGTAAAGCTAACTGTCAGGGAATCACATAATGGCCTACTGACAGCGATTAGTGAACCCTATAGGGCATCTGTAGCCCACTGTCACGACCACGCATGAAATCTCATTGTCTGGTAACGAGGTCTATCAAGGTACGCCCCCAGGGCTCCTGTATGGTCTGCCCCACAGGCCTATATTAATCAGGTTAATCCATGACGGGAAATTCCAGCTGACTATATCTGAATTCTGTGCTTAGAGTAGCGTCGAATGTAGTAGCCCTAAATATACCCACCCTACACTGCAGAGTAGTCTATAATCTCAACTGCTTGCAATTATTTATAATAATTAATTCATTAATCACATAGCTTGTGATACTATTCGTGATTACGTTCTTTAGCTTGAGAATCATATATCTTGTGAACTATGCACTTACGAACAGTTTGTGGCTGGCTTCTTTCTTTAAATTTATGCAACATGTACACCACTAACTTTTATGAGTTCCAACTGTAGACAAATGTAGTTGTGTGAAACATATTGCTTCCTTGAAGAGTACTATAACTCTATAGATTTAGGACTCAACATGAGAGGGTTTATAAAATAGGATAACTTTCTTTCAAGTATCATAGAATCTATAGTGACATTTATCGGAAAAACATGCGAGTTTAGGTCGTGCCTTAAGGGCAAAAGAGGTTTTAGATTTACATACCTTAATTAGGGACTTATTATCTTACGTCGTAAAACTCCTTTGCTGACAACTTTATCTATAACATAAAATCATAAAAGGATAGTATAAGAAACTAATCAAGAGTCACAACAATGCCAAAAACACAATAATGTTTCGCGAGCGACAATCTCAACAATTACCATAGATGAGTGGTGTATCACCACACCCTTCTCTTTCTTTACTTTCCAAGTAAGCTTATGACTTATTTACATGTTCAGTATTACTCCTCATCCTTTAACCATAAAGAACCAGCCCCCTTAATCATCCACACTTAACATAAAAGTAAAACTCATGGCCTCCGATCACCATCCCACCGGTTCCTTGTTAACGATGTCAAATTCCTTTATAAGCTAATAGTTGAAGTTGGTAGAGAACTAATTCCATAAATTAAAATTATAGGAGCACATATAACCTGCTACAACATATTGTTAGCGACTTAGGAATTTCATCAAACACTTGGTGAGCGACAAACTTTCAAGAACTATAATAGTCGCATTCTCTATACCTCGCCTTCCATTTTAATGTAACCAACTTACTTCCCCAATACAATATCATTGACTCCTCATTTGGTCAAAACAACAGCCAACACAACCTTCTACAAACTCCCTCCTAACCAAAACATCAAATACAACGGGTAAAATATGGACTCATGGCTCCTATCACCGTCCCGTGAGTCCTACCCGCAAATTATACTTAAAGTATCCTTGGAATACTATTTATGAAGATAGAAGAGGATTCATACCTATATATCAAATAGAATCAGCCCCTGCCCTTCTTTATTCTCCAAGAACAATACTTTTTCCTTCAAAGAAAACATTTAGCTAAGTATATCTATAGGTCTATGGAGAGGAAGACACTTGATTCTTGAAGAAACCAACTTACCTTTAGCTTTGGTGGATTGAAGATGAGAAAATCTTGAAGAATTAGCTTGAAACCAGTCCTTACACGTTCTTGATTATATGAGAAAGTATATCCCAAACTTCTAATATAAAGCCGACTTTCTCTAAAGTGCCACATGTCCCGCAGGGATTGGGCAGTGCGAGCGTCTGTCATAGAATAAACATTACTTTTTGCTCCGATATTGTTTTTACAAGAGGTTTGTTTTGATGGAAACTAGACTCAAATACCTTCAATTGGATAGATTTTAGGCCCTCTAACTAGTTATATATTAGAAGATATGCTCGTTCAAAGTCATATGAGAAATGAGATCATTTGTAGTATTCCTCCACAATGAACCTTTAAACTTTAATCTTTTCTTTAATGATCTCTTTGACCTAAAACTTTTGTTTAACCCTTCAAATGACTAAATATAAGGGTTACATGGTATGCTAAACCATTTTCAATGATATACCTCCTCCGATATCACATCTATGCATTGGTGTTTACGAGTCGCAAATGAATTTTAAGTTACAGGATATTACAATAATGGTCAAGCCCTCGAATGCTATGAGGACTTACCAAACTTATTCTTCTTGATCTACTATCATCCTAGCCATGAGGATGGAAGTCGATACCGCCAGACCCTACACTTTGTGTAAAATGTAGAAGGAATATGGATTAGCACAAAAATGTACTAAAGATGATAGCCATGCATAAAAACCTTGAAAACATGCTAAAAGGGACATTTTAGTTGAATGCATGCACTTTTCTAAATTAAGTTATCATTTTGAAAGTAGTGTGAAAACACAAGTCATAAACATAAGAGACATCATGCTAATACATAGACTACAACATGGTAGATAACAATCACAACTAGTGAGTATAAGAAGTGTAATTAGGAAAATATACATAGTCAATACCATCTAATTTTAGCATGACATGAGAGAAACACTTCATGAGCCACCTCAAGGCAAGCTTGTGCAATGTATGGATAAGATACCATAATCCTACCCACACTAAGCAAGTCACTTAAGATCCTCATTCATGTTTACCATCTTTTGACCTCATCCATAGCCTATTTCTCATATTTAAGGAAACATTCACTTTTAGTCAACCACATCAAGGAAAGCAACTCATGGTAACAATCCAAGTAGCATACAACATTACAAGTATCCTTCACATCAAATGAAATTGCCATTTAGTCACAAGCACATTCATTACATGAGTCATCTTGACAAAAGAGGAACCTACCATAACTACTCTCAAAGCCCACTTGAGCAATGCATGGATGAAGTCCCATACCCCCACCCACACTAAGTAGTACTTCTTGAATAGCCATAGATCATCCTAGACTTGACCCTTGTGGGAATTAGCTTTAACCGACATAGATCATGTGAGCTTGCATGGAATCCGGTGTATGCCCCACACTGAAAAGGGGTGTCCTACTTGCCTAAGGTAGAACTAAAATGTATTAGCTTTTAGGTGGATCCAATAGCTAAATAACCTACGGGGGCACGTAGTTATGGGATAAGGAGATTGCTACTAGAAACCTGCCCTTTCTGACGGGGGAGCTTCCATCTCAAGAGATACTTTCTAGAAACCCGCCCTTTCTGACGGGGGAGCTTCAATCTCATATTCAATATCCACTCGGTGCTAAGCATAATTCTCATGAAGTATTTACTGAATCCTAACTTCTTTAATTAGGATAGCTCATTAGATCATGTTTGAGAATAAACTTTTATAGTCCATGTCTTCATGTTAGATTCTATTAGGTTAGAACTAACTTTCCACCTAGAATCTTCAATATGTTAGATAAACTTTCAC